GGTTCTCTATGAATCCACATGGTTTCCCTCTAAAAGCAGAATGGGCAGGACTGTAGGAACACCCCTACATCCGGCAAGCTAACAGCTCCTAGAACTAACCTCCCAAAACTGTGCACCTCCCCACCCCCACCCCAGTGGACACCTTGACTAGAGAGACCCGCAACAGCAGCTGCTGATCCCTCTCTGGCCCTTTAAGGCCTCAGAAAACTTCACCTCACTAGGTATTCAGGGCATTCAGTTCAGCTCCGCTTTCTAAGCTGGGAGGTTCAGGGACTCATTAGCAGATGCTTAAATGTCAAAGGGAGACCTGTCTGGGCTGTGCTGGGCTTACAGAGTCTTCCTTCTTCCCAGCTTGCAGTCTGGCCTCCCTGCATCCAGGAAGGCAGGAAAGGACCACCCGGGAGATGCCAGGGTAGGAATTCTACTTCCTCTAAGGAGATAGATTCACAGACTTTTGCCTGCCTCTTCCTTGGGGGCTCAGATGGTAAAGAATCTGCCTGCAATGCAGGAGACCTGAGTTTGATCCCTGGGTCAGGAAGATCCCCTAGAGAAGGGAATAGCTACCTACTCCAGTATTTTTTTTTTTTTTTAACTCCAGTATTCTTGTCTGGACAATCCCATGAACAGAGGAGACTGATGGGCTACAGTCCATGGAGGTCGAAAAGAGTTGGACATGACTGAGCAACTAACACTTTTACTTTTCACAAAGAATCAAACTCCAATGTCAAGAGACCCCAGAGTGACAGCCTTGACTTTGTGAATGGTTAGAGGTCAAAGGGGAGTGAATATACGTCACAGTGTTTTGGAAATGTTCAAACAGGGTCTGGGGCTGGTTTCTTAGAGCGGGAGAGCTCAGAGTGTAGGGACTCAGAGCTCAGATGTTCCCAGACTGGTATCCAGATACGTGTCAGCTGTGTGGCCTTAGGGAATCACTTGCCCCTCTGAGCCTGTTTCCCCTTCTGTTTAATGGGGAGAGTGAGACCTGCTTTGTCATTAGGAGGATAAAGTGTATCAAGTGTTTGCACAGTGCCTGGTACATGAAGAGTATTTGATAAGACCATCAAAAGTGGAAAGATCTCAGACTTAGATGCCAGTCTTAGCTCTTCTCATAATCTGGGTGACTTGTATCAGTTGGTTTCAGTCCTCTGAGACTTGAGTTTCCCTGTCTTAAAAATGGCGCTCCTTATACTTCCAGGGCGATGCACGTGTTCAACGAGGCCACATGTATTCATCCTGCTGCTGCTGCTAAGTCGATTCAGTCGTGTCCAACTCTGTGCGACCCCATAGACGACAGCCCACCAGGCTCTGCGGTCCCTGGGATTTTCCAGGCAAGAGTACTGGAGTGGGTTGCCATTGCGTTTTCCATATTCCGCCTAGTTCCCAGCTAATAGCATGTTGGTGTGACTATAACTATCTAAAGGGGCTTCCCAGGTGGCGCAAGGGTAAAGAATCCACCTTCCAGTGCAGGAGACCCAGGAAATGCAAGTTCAATCCCTGGGCCAGGAAGATCCCCTGGAGGAAGAAATGGCAACCCGCTGCAGTCTTCTTGCCTGGAAGATTCCATGGACAGAGGGGCCTGGTGGGCTACAGTCCATGAGGTCACAAAAGAGTCAGACATGACTGAGAGAGCAAGCATCAGCATCTAAGCATCATAGTAGCGTTATTACTATTGGAAGAAGCATAGAATTGGGAGACCGAGCAATCTGGCTTTGATTTCACTCTGTCCTTAGCAATTTTGTGACCCTGGAAGCCAGAGTGCCTCCTTGAACCAGCCGTAGCAGCTACTGCTCGTGGCTACTGCGAAGATTCAATGGATCCAAAGCGCCCAGCCAGGAGCCTGGCATCTGTGGAGGCTCAGTAAACACTAGTAGAGTCTAAAGAGAGAAGGGGAACCGCCTTATTTCTGAGAGCAAGGCCAGCATCTCTTTGTCCTGGCACCTGAGCTGGCATCCAGCTGAGTTGTTTGGTTAAATGAAGGTTTGCGCACACCACTTCCGGCCTCCCATCTCACTGCTGTAAAGCTTCAGCTCAAACGGGCTTCCCTTGTGGCTCAGCTGGTGAAGAATCTGCCCGCAACGCGGGAGACCTGGGTTCGATCCCTGGGTTGGGAAGATCCCCTGGAGAAGGGAAAGGCTATCCACTCCAGTATTCTGGCCTGGAGAATTCCATGGACTTTCACTTTCACTTTTGCTCAAACACCTGACTCTCCTGCCCATCCTTGTCTTGTATGGCACATTCTCTGAGCGTCATTAAAACTTCCTTGGGGTGACAGATGAAATGGGGCTTCACCTCTGTGCACCCCGGGCCATGGGATGGGAGACCACGGACACCAGTGGCTTTTGGGGGTGTGACGATTCTTCATTTGGAGGGTGGAGGGCCATCCTGTACAGAAGAGAATCTGCATAGTCTAACCTCCTCCTTATCATTTATATGTGGGGAAACGGAGGCCCGGACCACAACACCCACCACCACCGCTTCTCCCCAGCCCAGAGTGAGAGGTGGGGAAGTGGAGGAGATGGCGCTGGATAGCAGGAGTCTGCAGCATGCTCCGGATAATAGTCATTTAACCCAATTCCAGATGTCATCTCAGCTTGCTAGATTTCCCTCCACCATGAACAACTTCAGGCTCCAGGGTGCCAGGTGGTAGGGATAATCACTAGGGTGCCTTTGACAGCTGAGATTTAAAATTTTCATTCCTAGACTCCCTCCCCCTCCTCCACCATCCTTCTGCCCGAGGAGTAATTTCATATCTTTTTCTCTGCACTTAAATATAGGTATGCTAAAAAAAAAAAAAAAAAAAAGGCGGGGGTTGGTGGCGGTGGGGGGGTTGCTTACCAGTAGATAAACCCAGATACAGACATAGAGGGAGATATACGATTTTTGCAGCTTGCTTCACTTGCCCCAAGGGTTAGCATCATGTTTCTGAGATAATCCTCAGCATGTTTTTGCTGACAGTGGGTCTTCAATACTGTCATACAACCTCCCTCTCTAAGTCCTGTCTCTCTCATTTGTCACATGAGAGTTTGCTATGGGCCCTGCAGAGGTCTCAGGAAGGTAGGATGAGATGGCATTTGCAAAGTTCCCGGAAGGGTGGATGACACATCATAGTCACCTGCACAAAGCAGACACTCACCAGCAGGCTCCTACTGCTGCTCCAGGCTTTGGTTCACTCGTCCACAGTCTCCTTTGTTTTCTGTGAAAGCTGTGCTTCTAGAAAAATGTATTCAAATTTGAGAACCATGGACCCCAATTTAAAATGGGCATCCATAAGCCTTTCGATAAATTTGACAGGGGCCACTTTTAGTTGTTAAAATTTGTCTTTATTATATTAAAAAATAAATGTGCATTGTCAAAAGGTTGGGAAAGAGGTTTACAGAAAAAAAAGGTGAAAACAAAAATTGTCTATAATCCAATCCTGTCAGTCAGAGTTCTCCAGAGAAACAGAACCAGCAGGATATGTGGAAATGTATAAATTAAGAGATTGGCTTAAGGAAGTGGTTCATGAAATTGTGGAGGTTGGCAGGCCTGACATCCAGAAACTGAATTACTTCTTTTAGAAGACCTCTTTTTTTCTCTCTCTCTCTCATTCTTTCAACTGAATGGATGCAGCTCACCCACATTTCAGGGGGAAAGTGTCCTTAAAGTCAGCTAACTATAGATATTAATCCATCTATGAAAAACTTTCTCAACAACACCTAGAACAGTGTCTGACCAAACAACTGGGCGCCATAGCCTCACAAGTTGACACAAAACTTAACCATCACACCTAGCATTCAGAGATAATCCTCTAGAGATTTATATTGAGAGATAATTTGTGTACACAACTGACATTTTATAATAGGTGGAATGTCATCTTTTCAGTTTTTATTTGGCATCCTATCTTGAATACATCTTTAGAGAGGTGAAACTCTCTATAAAGTAGCCTTTAACCTCATTATTTTGTATGGGGCATAGAATCCCACTGTGTCATCATTCCATACATTATTTATCCAAAACTTCATTGCTGGACACTGAGGTTGTTTTCACCTTTCATGTGTTAATTTAAATCATTTCTGCAATGAGCATCCTTACTGATAAATCTTTATGTACATCTGTAGTGGATGCAAAAGGTATCCACCCAAATCCTGTTTACCACCAGTGGCTCACATCTGTCCCCTTGCCTGAAAAATGATCCTTGACCCAACAGCTTCCCAAATGACAGACATTGAGGAGGGGTGGGCAGACAAGGCCAGGGTCACACCCTTTTCCTTAAAGTGGAACTGACCCTGTGATTCCTCTTACCCTCCAGGCTGAAGGTGGTACCCAGCCAAGGTCACATGCATACTTAGCTCCTCTCCTCTGCCCGCTTCCCTCCTACCATTCTCCTAAGAGCACACCCTCAATAAAACACTGTCTCAGGATGTGCTTCAGGTAAAACCCAGCTGAACATAACAGCTGAGTATTGTTTTGAGGATGACTTTCATTAAAGAAGTAGCAATGGCCTCCAAATATTCTACTGTGTAGCTGGGATGCTTCCAGATTAGAGAATTAAAGGGAATCTCTCCGGTAAATCAGCCTCTTGTAGCACTGCATGGGGCAGACACTCTTGAGGTGCGGAGTGTCTCCCCTAAAGCCCAGGATAAGGGGGCGAAGCACCCCATTGCTGGAAGAAGGAGCAGGAGAACCCTGGACCCTTTGGCTTCCCTCCATCTCAAATGCCTAACTCTCTCCTGAGATCACGAAAATCCTCCATGGCATCTAAGTTGCCACCACCAAGGATGCAAAAGTGAGATGTAGGAATGGTGGCAAAGAAAACGGGATTGTATGGCCCAGCAAGAACATCTCAGCAACCTGGGTGGTGGACAGAGATGCTAGGGTTGAGGACATTCTTGGAATTTTCTAGCTCACGAATCTCCACCATGTGTCCTTGCCTCCTCTGGGCGTCAGTTCATCAGTGCGTCCTTCAGAAGGTGGTTCTCCCAGCCTGCATCTGACTGTTCCTTTTCCCCTTGGCTCTCCAGACGGAAGTGCAGTCTTCCGAGGCTGCTTCCGCAGGCCTGACAACCTCTCCCTGGCCTTGCCTGTGACGGCTGCCATGCCCAACATGTCCGTGGACAAGTGTGTAGACCTCTGCACGGAGAAGGTGAGCCTGCTTCCGCGCACAGAATTCCAGGGAGGGCGGTGCGGGGCAGCTGGAGAAGTGAGATGCTTGGCTGGGGGAGCAGCCACCTGACAGCTCTGAGGAAGTTTATGACTGTGACGTGTGACGCAGGAGGGGAACTTGGATCCAAAGGCTGGGAGCTATGCAGGGTCTGTTTCTTTCCCTCCAAGGAAGTGTGTTTGTTCTATTAGTGAGGATTGCTCAGGAGTGAAGGTGACGTGTGAACTGGGCCTAGAAGCAGGCATCAAGGATTGCCAGGTAAAGCCCAGGACAATCCCACTTTGGACAAGAGTGAGTTCCCCATCACTGGAGGTATGCAAACAGAGGCAGGGCAGGTGTGGCATCCAGAACTTCGGGTACTGGATAGCAGTTGGACTGGATGATCCAACTGGATGGTCCTTTCTCAGCCTGAGATCCCTGATGGGTGGCTGACTGTTTATGCTTCTTCCCAAATCAGACAGGGAACTCCACAAGAGTAGAGGCTATGCCTGAAACATTTTGTGACCACTCTTGATACCCAGCACGGAGCTAAGCTCATCACTGGCATCCAGTGATATCTGAGAAGCTCCCTCCTTCATTCAAGGTGAGCTAATTATACGAGGGTCCACAGGAGAAACCCCCGTTCCCCACTACAAGCAAGTGGTTACCCATCTCATTCATCCTCTCAGCTAATATTTGATGAGAACCTCCTTTGTGCCAGGCCCTTGTGCTCAATGCTGGGAGTGCAAATTCAACAAGATGTGGTCTTTATCTTCAGTGATGCTGGCATTGGCTGGGGGCTGCTTTGTGGCTCCTCCTGGGTGCTCAGCCCACACCCCAACTCCTGAATGCTCCCACCTGTTCTGAGTCATCCTGCTTGGCTGTTTCTTTCATTAAGCCTCCTAATTCATGAAGCACCTTTCAGAAAGATCAAGCGGCAGCAACATCGTAGAGACCACACTTATTGAGCCCCTCCATGCACCCCTCTGTCCCATGGGTCACACATTTTACCTCCCACAACAAGGCTAGGAACTGGGAATTTTCATCCCCATTTCACAGATGATAAAACCAAGACTCAGACAGGTCAGAAGTCACTTCCCAAGCTCACAGCATAAGCAAGTGGCAGAATGGGTTCTGACACCAAATCTATGGTCTTGACTTCCTGAGCTCCCCTGGAGACTCCATGGGCTTCCTAGGTGCGCTAGTGGTAAAGAACCCACCTGCCAATGCAGGAGACATAAGAGATGCAGGTTCAGTCCTTGAGTTGGGAAGATCCCCTGGAGGAGGGTTTGGCAACCCACTCCAGTATTCCTGCCTGGAGAATCCCATGAACAGAGGAGCCTGGCGGGCTATGGTCCGTAGGGTCACAAAGAGTCAGACACGACTGAAACGACTTAGCATGCACGCAGTCAGAGACCCCCAGAGAGAGGCTTGCAGGAACTCTTCAAGGTCCAGGAGCCATCCAAGGGCAGCCAGGTAACTTCAGGTCACCAAGCATTTCCTGAGTGCTTGCTCTGCTCCCTGGAGGCATCCGGAAGGTCAGGGGTACTGTTCACAAGATTCAAGAAGGTTTGACCATCTTTTGGTCCAGCTTTCTCTCTTGGGCAGGAATCCCCCTCCCCTGGCCTCCCCTCCAGGTGGACACCCATCTGTCCTGAGGGCCCGAGGGAACTACAGATCAGCTGGAGGTGAGGGACGAACAGGAGACGGTGAGGTCACAGGGCAAACCAGTGTGGAGAGCGTCCTGCTGACAGAACTGTGGGGAAGGGAAGGCGTGGGCAGGTTGTGGGGTGTGTGGGGTACAGGAAGGCCCTGCTGCAAGCCTCCCTCTTCTCTTTTCCCCTCATTTCCTTAGAGGGGCCACAGGAGAAAACTGGAGGGGATTAGGTGGACAGGGGTCCAAAGCTGCTTGTGCCAAGTGGTGACGGGTCTGAGACTTAGCAGGTCAGAGGAGGCTTCAGTATGTGTCACAGGCTAGAAAACAGCCTCCATCACGGCCCAGGCTCAGCCACCTGCCCCCCAGCAGCATCTCTCTGATCTTAGGCTAGGTGCTGTAGCTCAGATTCAGTATCTGAGAAACAAACAAAACCTACCATGGCCAAGCTCACCAGATCCAGCCCCAGAGGTGTGACCCTGGTTTGTTAGCGGATTATTCCTGGACCAGCTACCAGGGAGAATTCGGCTCCGTGGGTCTGAGCAAATTGGACAAAGGACAGTCCGTTGCCCTCTAAATCTCAGGTCCAGCCTGCTCCCACTTAGCTCTTACAAAGAGCAATTAAAGCAATTAGCAGCCTCTCACCAAGGGTCAGACACGACTTAGCGACTGAACCACAACTCCCAGCAAGACGGTGGTTACACATGGGTAACGACATCCTCTTTGGCTTAAAAGAACAGTTGCAGACAGCTTTTCCCAAAGCATGGGCTTCATACCATGGTCAGACCCAGAGGATTGACTGGGGTGTAATGCATGGCCATGAGAAAATTTTTCCTTTTTCAGTTTTCTTTCAGGTCCTCCAGGAGAAAGCGACTTCTCAGTGCTGCAGTGGCTTTAACACCCCTCTCCACTACACTAATCTCCCTTTTGCAGGAAAAATGGAGTTGACCCCAGGTTCGAGTTCTTGGCAGGCAGAGTGCCTAGTTAGAATTTAATAAAATGGTTTTGTTTTATACTATTAGGGTCTACAGTATGAAAAGGTATGAAAATGCTACTTCTCAACCAGTACTACTTTTGGGGGTGATAAAAAAAAGTTCCCCTTGAAATCTGAGTCTCAAAGGGTGACTTGAAATTTGTGTTTCAAAAGGAAACAAATAAATAGTGCCTGTGCGTGCTCATGCACACGTGTTCAGTCATGTCCGACTCTTCGCGACCCTGTAGACTGTAGCCCTCGGGGCTCCTCTGTCCATGGGATTTTTTCAGATGAGAATATTGGAGCAGGTTGCCATTTCCTCCTCTAGGGGACCTTCCCAACCCAGGGATCGAACCCACGTCTGCTTCTGCATTGGCAGGAGGATTCTTTACCACTCGCACCAGCTGGGAAAGCAAAAAGTAAATCCGTGTGAGGCGATGGGTGTGTTAATTAGCTTTGTTGTGGCGATTATTTCACAATGTAGGCATATATCAAAACATCAAGTCATACACCTTAAATAAATGCAATTTTTATCTGTCAGTTATAGCTCAAGAGAGCTAGAAAATATAACAGTACAAGAGACAGACAGGACAGAATCTTCCCAGTGAAGCTTGGGCACCCTCGAGCTGGGGAGAGTGATGGAGAAGGTGGTGGTTGGAGCACAAATCCTGTTTGCAACCGGAGTCCAGGCTGCCCGGGGAGTCAGTGACTTTCTTCCCTTCCTCTCTCACGTCATCCCCAGGAGTACCCGCTGGCAGCCCTTGCGGGCACTGCCTGCCACTGTGGCTTCCCCACCACACGGTTTCCCCTCCACGAGAGAGAGGACGAGCAGCTCTGTGCCCAGAAGTGCAGCGCAGAGGAGTTCGAGAGCTGCGGGACCCCCAGCTACTTCATCGTGTACCAGACGCAGGTCCAAGGTAAGCCCGCCCCCGCCCCACGCAGCAGGCCCCCAGAAGCTCTCCCAGGGGCTGCCTCCCACCCAGAGGTGCTCCAGCCAGCCTGTCAGCAAGAGAACCATACAGGCTAGGGGACAGAGGGCAGAGGCAGGGCTAGCGAGCGTGGCCAGGCTTCAGGCTTAGAGATCCTGGAGGGGCAGCATAGGGAGCGCCCTCGGCAGGGGGGATGGTTCTGGAGACCTTCCTCTCCAGCCCTCACACTGAGGACCCCCTTGGTGCCTCTTCCTGTAAAGGGGGCAGAGAGATTGAGCGAGAAGACATCTGAGCTGGGAGTGGGAGACTTGGGTCTTCAACACAGACCTCCAACCAGATCACTCACATGATCCTGGGCAAGTCATTTCCCCTTTCTGGGCCTCAATTTCTCCATCTGTAAAATGAAGCTGTAGATTGCTGGCCTTCCAGTTCTAGGAGTCTGCAAATGTATAACTTTTTGTTCTCTTTCTCCATCTTACTCATCCTTTCTACTTTCATCTGTCTCCCTTTGCCAGTGGAACCCACAACTTGATGTTTATCTCTTCTTCCATCTCTTGGGGGTACCAGACTGTGATGATGATGGCGATGATGATGGTGATGGGGATGATGGGGATGGGGATAATGGGGATGGAGATGGGTATGATGATTGGGATGGTGATGATGATTGTGATGTGATGATGCTGGTGATGGTCATGATAGTGATGGTGATGATATTATGGCGATGGTGATGATGATGGTGATAATGATGGTGATGATGCTGATGCTGATGCTGATGATGGTGAGGGTGATGGTGAGGATGATGATGGTGATGGTGATGATGATGGTGATGGGGATGATGGTGATGGGGATGATGATGGTGGTGATGGTGATTGTGATGTTGATGATGGTGATGGTGGTGGTGGTGGTGGTGGTGGTGGTGGTGGTGGTGGCACTTAGGGACTTTCCTTGTTCCAGACTCAGTGTTGAGTCCTTGGTGTGCATTTTCTTATTGATTCCCCTCAGCTTTCCTATGAGTCGGGAACAGTCATTATGCCTACTTTACAGGTAGAGAAACTGAGACTCAGAACAGGACTTGCCTGAGATCATGGGGCTTACAAAACTTCTAGATGAAAATCTTTTCTCCTGCTGGAGGCATGATGAAGGGTGGATGGCACATGGAAAGGTAACTTGCTGGGATGCCCAGCCCAAAGAAAGCCTGTGAAGGAGTACTCCAACTTCTGAAAACACTCTCCACCTATATGTGTCAGTCCTGTGCCAAGCCTCATCTCATTTAATCATAGAAAGCCCACAGTAAGCCTGTGATCAGGGCAGCATCATCCCCATTTTACAGATGAGAGAACCAAGGCTCAGAGGGGTTGAGAACTGGCCGTAATCACACATCTGCAAAAGTGGTTTGCTTTCAGGTTTCTAACTCCAAAGGCCATGCTAGAAACCTCTGACCACAGTGTGAAGGACACTCCCCACACCCTCTGAAGCCTGGAGAACTAACAAAACACCACTGGGCTAGACTTCCTCTTCCTCTCCCAGGACCCTAACCTTGTGTGGTTGGGCAGATTGAGCAGTGCACAGGCACAGCCTGAAGGAAAAGAGATGCTTGAGAGCCAGCCCGTGCTCTGCCTGTTGTGCTGTGCTCTCTGGACGACAGTGCATCTGCTCAGGGGAAGCGGAGGGTACCTTTCTCTGATTTGCACAAAGGTCTGTAAGAGCTAGTGACAGCCCCACCAGTAGCCTGCCCCTGTGTGGCCTGATGTGGGGTAGTGGCGGCCAACTGCGGCTTCCTCCCTGGCAGCTGAATCTAAGAGCTCAGTGAGCAGGAATGTGTTTAGCCAGGGTGGCCTCTGGCTTTACTTGCACTCCAGTGAGGAAGGATGAGTGTTTGTTAGTTTCCAGGAAGCGTTGGTTTGTCTGTACAGAACTGTGTAGCTACAGGTTGGGGGAAGGGTCACACTCAGCTTAATTATCCCACGACCAAGAGCAGCCCTGATGCGAATGGGACACCGGAGCCTATTCAGTAGCCCCCGATTGATGGGTTTGCTCATTCCCAGGCCACGACTGCTCTCCAGTTTCCCATGTTGCACTTGCAGGCCCCCCACCCTGGGGAGGCTTGAGAGTCACGTTCATGAGGCCACCAAGAGCATGGTCCACGATGACTGCCATTTATTGAGCACCTACTGTGTGCCAGGTACTATCTGAGCTCTTTAGACTGAATTAACTCATCTAATCCTCACAACAGTCCAATGACATAGGTACTGCAATTATTACCATTTTATAAACATGGCAACTCGCAAAGAGAGGTTGAATAGCTCGGCCAGAGTCGCACAGCTAGGACGGAGCAGAGCTGGGATTCAGACCGAGGCAATCTGGGTCCTGGGCCTGCACTCGTAATCTCAGCTTCTCAACGTACACTGCGTATACTTCCCGCGCATTGTCCATCTGATCCTGTAAGGTTTGTTAGCCCCGCTTTAGAAGTGAGGAAACTGAGGCTCAGGGAGGTAAAAGGCCTTGTTCAACATAGCACAACTAGGCCATGATCATCCTGGACTGAAGCCAGGTCTGTCTGATTCCAACTATGTACTACACTGCCTCCAGCATCTGTTTTGATTTGTGGAGCTTAAGAACCAAATAAGCTTCCTTTTTAATGCTGAAAATAAGCACCTTTATTTTGCCTCCCAGACAGTAGTTAAATGGAGAATTCTGTTTTCAGGGGAAATTGAGGGACCTGGTTCTTTCTCTCTCCCAACATTTTATTATGAAAAAAAAGTCAAACCTCCAGAAAAAGATGGGATGAGTTACACAGTGAACATGTTAGACTTATCCTACAGATTTTACATTTCTCAGCATTATGGTGTGTTTACTTTCTCATGCATCTCTTCATTTCTCCATCCCTCAATTTTTCTTCCTGGATGCATTTCAAAGTAGTTGCAACATGATTACATTTCAGTCCTCATATCACTAATTGTAATTCAATATTTGCTTATGGTTTTTCAAAGTAACATTTACATAGAGCAAAATGCACAAATTTTGAGTGTACTGTTTAATGCCAACTGGGTCCTATCAAATCCACACCCCTGTCAAAATTATAAAACATAACCGCGCTCCAGAAAGTTTTGAATCTAAGGTCCTTTTTTGCAGTGTGTTTCCATGAAAACTATTCCCAGACACCTGCTTGGCTTGATAAAGATGCTTTTCCGTTTGTTTGTTTTCCCAAAGTCTGCTCTCCTCTGAACAAACAGATTAAATGTGCATGGCAGGGGAAGAGAGCTGGTCTCTGGCTAGTAGCATCACTACTAAGAGCTCACAGTGTGTGAGCCCTGTGTTCACACTCAATACCCGTTCTCTCTTCTGACCTTCCTGAGAACCCCAGGATGTCATCATTATCAGCGTCCCATGTTACAGGTGAGAAAACTGAGGTTTATTCAGATCCATCAATTTTCCAAGGTTACCAAGGAGGTGGCAGAATTGGAATTTAAGTTTAGGACTTCAGACTTTCCCCTTGAAGGGCTCTTTTGAGAAAGCAGTGTGGCTCATGGTGAGACTTCAATAATGGCAGCTAATACAGAACAGAAAAGACCAGGGTACCATCTTGGAAGGATTCTAAGGGCAGGATGATGGGAGTTAGCAGATGCTGCCGAGTTAACAAAGTGAGGGGAGGCTGGATTGAATGCTGGGTGGTAATTGGTGACTTTAGCAGAAGCTGATTCTGTGCAGTGAGCAGGCAGAGCCTGGAGGAGCCCTGGGAAATGGTGGAAGGAGGAAAAGGGATAGGAGTGTGGACAACTCTGCCAAAAGTGAGACTGAATGGGGTATGGAGTGAAACTGTTAGTCGCCCAGTCGTGTCCAACTCTTTGAGACCCCATGGTCTGTAGCCCACCAGGCTCCTCTGTTCATGGGATTCTCCAGGCAAGAGCACTGGAGTGGGTCGCCATGCCCTCCTCCAGGGGATCTTCCTGACCCAGGGATCGAACGCAGGTGTCCCGCATTGCAGGCAGATTCTTTACCGTTTGAGCCACCCAGGAAGCCACAGGGGTGCAGAGAGAGAGTGCTTACTGGAGCGGCACTTTTATTTTTAATGATGGAGTTATTTGTTCGTGTTTGAATGCTAATGATTAAGTCAGCTAAGAGGGAGAGAGGAAAGACAGGGGAAATAGATGGAGTTATGAGCTGGCGGGGGGAGAAAGGAGATGGAACAGAGACACTAGAGCAGGGGTCACTCGCTTCTTCCCAGAAAGTGGGGGCAGAGGGGAGGAGAGAGGGTGAGAGAGCAGTCTTGGGGCTCAAGGGGCAGGAAAGCCGGGGCAGGGGAGGGAGGGAGGCTTGCCTGCCATGACTTCATGGTGAGGACTGGGGTCATCGGTCCAGACTGAAGAAGCAGCAGTAGGACCAAAAATCCAGGATTCTTTCCTCTTCCTTTTCCACTGCCGAATCTCCTTTGCTGGGCCATCACCTGTATGTGTAGAGAGAAAAAAAAAATCACCACTGTGACCTCTTAGCTCCAGGAGGGGTTGCAGAGGGAGATGCCGAGACCTAACACTTTCCATCAGCTCTGATGGTCGTGGCTGAGGGACCAGCGCCCCTGACACTGCCCAGGCAGGAGCAGAGCGCAGATGGACCCGGTGCTGGCAGGTGCAGAGGTTGGAAGGGAGAGCGGGGCGGGGGGTGGCATGAGCGTAGCAGGATGCAAGGGCCAGGCCACACAGAGCTTGGAGGTCCAGATGAAAACCTTGGCCTGGGCCCCATGCCAGTGGCCGCCATTTGTGGGTTTTAACCTGGAGGAAAGTGTAGGGGTGATAAGACAGAGCCTCACTGTTCAGCTGAGAAACTGAGGTTGGAGAGAAGGCTCGTTCCTCCTGGCTGGCTTTTATTGAATCCCTACCGTGTGTGCATCCTTCTCTCATGTATTATCTCATAACCCTGTTCCCATTTCCAGATAAGGAGATGGCAGGCTCGGGAAGCACCAGCTCTCACAGCTGGGAAGCGGCAGGGTTGAGACTCACACCCTAGTCCCTTCCGGCCAGGCTCCTTCTGATCGGCCCCTGACCCTGACTCCTGTCTGTGCCCTGCCCTCTGCAGACAACCGCTGCATGGACAGACGGTTCCTCCCAGCCAAGTCCAAGCAGCTCATTGCTCTGGCCAGCTTCCCGGGAGCCGGCAACACGTGGGCTCGCCACCTCATCGAACTGGCCACAGGCTTCTACACTGGCAGCTACTACTTCGATGGTTCTCTGTACAACAAAGGTGAGGAGGCACAGGCGAATGGGGACCGGACCCCCTGGAAGGACGTGGGAGTACCCCTTCCTGAGCACCTACTGCGTGCCGCTCAGCTCTCCCGGGCCTATTGATTGAGAACTACTATGCTTAGTGAGCTTCCCTGATGGTTCAAATGGTAAAGAATCTGCCTGCAATGCTGGAGACCCAGGATCGATCCTTGGGTCAGGAACATCCCCTGGAGAAGAGAATGGCTACCCACTCCAGTGTTCTTGCTTGGAGAAAGCAAGATATGGACAAAGGAGCCTGGCGGGCTATAGTCCATGGGGTTGCAAAGAGTCGGACACAACTGAGCAACTGACACTTCCACATGCTTAGTACCTTCCCTTCGCTTTACATCCCATGAACATTTCCTGAGTATCATGTCATTGGTATCTCACCTGCATCCATTTATCAAGCACCTACTATGTGTCTGGGACTTTCCCTCCATTTAAGTCTCGTCAAGCTCTTACTGAATGCTGGGCACCTTTTGCGGGAAACTGAGGCCCAAAAGGCAACAGGATGTCCCAAGTCACTCACTGAGTTGGAAACACAGCTAGCATCTTGAAAGCCTAGTACATTAGCATTCTAATTGGCTTTGAAGAGACCACCCAAATGCCCTAGCCCTCATGGGCATGAGAGGCCGAAGTGGTGAAGCACACAGTCTTGGGTGGCACTGTGGCTTGGGTTTGAAACCTTACCTCTGCCTCTTGCCAGCTCTGTAACTTGGACAAGTTATTTCATGTCTCTGGGACTCAATTTCCTCATCATCAAATAAAACCCTCATAGGATTATTGACAGGATCAAGTTGTCCCCGACATGTAAAGGACTTAGAGCAGTGTCCGGCACAGAGTCGGTGCTCTAGAAGCAACCATCAGCTACCCAGAGCTTCTTTCGGTTCCTCAGCTTTTGAAACGAAAACCTGAGCAGGTCCCTCCTTCCTTTTGCTTTCATCCTTCCAAGGACCGTGCGGTCTTTCTGGTCCAGCGGTGGCGCTGGTGGTAACAAACCGTCCTGCCAGTGCAGGAGACAGAAGAGAAGCAGGTTCCATCCCTGGGTCGGGAAGATCTCCTGGAGGAGGGCATGGCAGCTCACCCCAGTATTCGTGCCTGGAGAATCCCATGGACAGAGGAGACTGGCAGGCTAGGGCTACAGTCCACGGGGTTACAAAGAGTCAGACATGGCTGAAGCGACTCTGCACAGACTTAACTCATCATCACAACCCCCACAACCCTCTCTGGCCTCATGCTCCCCTCTCGCCCTCTGCTGTCCTGTACCAATCACTCATGTGAGACACATTTCTTCCCATCCACCACAGGACCTTTTGCACTGGCTCTTCTCACCTGGGATGGTAAACTCTTCCCCGTCCTTCAGTTCTGAGCCTAAGTACCTTCCTGCCTCGGGAAGCCTTTCTGGATGCCTGACTGGGTCAGTGATCTTGGCCAGGCTGGCTGGGCCGCTCAGCTCCAGACTGCAGGTTGGACCCATGTCTGTTCCGTGGGTCTCTCACCCTCTGGGACCAACAGCTTTCCAGGGCATGTCCTTCTCACAGTGACAGCAGAAACACACGTGTGTGCTGTGCGCAGCGTGCTTGATTGTTGTCTGACCCCTGCGACCCTGTGGACTGTAGCCCTGCGGGCTCCTCTGTCCATGGGATTCTCTAGGCGAGATACTGGAGCCAGTTGCTGTTTCTTTCTACAGGGAAGCTTCCCGACCCAGGGATGGAACCTGTGTGTCTTGCATCTCCTGCCTTCGCAGGGGGATTCTTTACCACTGAGCCACCCGGGACACCCCCAAAACACACACAAGTGAACAGAAACATGCTGGGTCCTGAGACGTTGGCCGAGACCCGGTTCCACCCCCAGTCCTTTGGCCAAAGCAAGCCATGCGGCCATTCCCAGCATCAGTGGGGCGGAAATGCAGACTTTGCCCTAAGGGGAACCCTCAGGCACATCACGTCAGTCCCCCCATCACAGCACCTGGGCGTGACTACTCCTCTCCTGCAGTCCTAACCAGGGCAGTGACTTTACATTCGTGTCACTATTTGAACTGTCTGGCTTTCAAAAACTGTGACCCATGAGTGTTTTTGCAGTCATTTTCCTCCCAGCTCCCTGCGTAGTACCTGGCACATAGTAGGTGCTCATTAAACATGCAAGTGACTGAATGAGTGGACAAGTGAATGTCTGAGGATCCCGGGGGTGGCCCCAGGCAGGGTGGGGCAGGTCTCCTGTCTCCCCCAGCTCACTGCTGTGTCCCCCGGCCCCCTCCCCGGCTGCGGGAAGGGTTCAAAGGTGAGCGGGATCACTGGCGCAGCGGGAGGACCATCTGCATCAAGACGCACGAGAGCGGCCAGAAGGAGATCGAGGCCTTCGACGCGGCCATCCTGCTCATCCGCAACCCCTACAAGGCCCTCATGGCGGAGTTCAACCGCAAGTATGGCGGACACATCGGCTTCGCTGCCCACGCCCACTGGAAGGGCAAAGGTACCACTTGGGAGTGGGGGCCAGGCCCCGGGGTGCCGAGAGCAGTGCGAGGGGCCAGAGCTGGCTCCTGCCAGGGATCCAGGAGGGCACCCTTGAGGGTGAGTGTGTGAGGTTCCAGGTCCCACTTAGAGCTGAGAAGGTATGCCTCCCACATGCCACCCAGCCCACGAGCATCACCTCTGTGAGCCAGGCTGCTATCATGACACAGTTGTTAGGGGTTGGGCTCTGGAGCAAGACTTCCTGAGCTCAAATTCCAACTCCACCACTTCCAGGAAAAGCTCCTTCGCCTCCATGAACTTGGATTGTCCAGTTTATAAAGTGGAGGTAATAAAACTCAAGAAGTCAACCCTTTAGAAGCACTCAATAGACTCTCATGTAATGGATAATGGGATCTATTGGAGAAGGGAATGGTAACCCGCTCCAATAGTCTTGCCTGGAGAATCCCTCAGACAGAGGAGCCTGGGAGGCCCCAGTCCATGAGGTTGCAAAGAGTCGGACATGACTGAGCGACTTTCATTTTTTCCCACACTGATTCAAAGCAGGTTCCAAATCCTTTCCTGGGAATCAAGAGACCTGAACCCAGGTCAGTGGCAGAGTGGCCATGAGGTCATCTGTGAGCTCCTATGAGCATCATTCCAATAAACCCTCCCAGCAGAGACTCGGAGAGGTTAAGTGACTTGCCCTAGGTCACAGCTGAGAAGTCACACCATCAGTCTCCAAGCACCGAACTTCATTAAGATGACCTGAGTTTGGTGTTCATCTCTGGTGCTCAGTAGATTCCAGAATGGGAGAATGTCTTGGTGCAGAGTGGCGGCCCCACCGTAGTAGGGGAGAGCTCCAAAATCAAAACCCCTCAAACCCCCGGATCAGTCATCACCCATGTCTCCATTACTGTAATGACAGCCACCTCTGTGAGTGTTTGTAAACCCCCACAGTTAACCCTGTGTTGTGGATGGGGCAAGCTAAGTTCAGGGAGGTTGAAGGCGCCGTTCCCGGAAGTGGTGGAGCAGGGATTTGAACCCAGGGACCACTGAGCTACAATAATGAATTGATCAGGACACCCATGGCTACAAATCCTCCGACACAGAGCCCCTGATGCCAAGTAGGTGCTCTGTAAACGTGAGCCCTCCTCGCCTCATTCAGCCTCGAGGAACCAGGCTGCTGCAGCCTCTAGCCCTGAGGGTGTTTCCCACTCCCTCCAAACCTTCCCCTTGCCCCCCGCCCCCTGACAGCTGCTCCACATTCCAGCCCCTTCCCAGAGAAAACCAGAGCAGACAGGATGACATTAACCCAGCCAATCACACCCAGCACTGATGTCATCGATGAAAACCCTTGGGCCTGCCTGAACAACTGTGTGTGCCCTGGCTTCCCAGTTTGCCCAGGGGGTTTGTCTATCCTTTCCCCTGCCGACCCCCTCCCTCAGTGGGTTACATCAGTTCCCAGGGGGTAAAGAGGTCTCTGAATTATTTATTTGTAGAACAATCAAAAATGAACATTATTTGTGGCCAGGCTGAGAAGCCTGCAGGCACCAATGGCAGGATCCTGCTCCAACAGCAGATGCTCTGTCGAGCGGGAAAGGACCCAGGAGGTCACTGTACCCAAGGGTCCTCATCCCTGCCAGCACATCTGAATCCCAGGAGGAGCATGGGAAAATCCCGGGGCTCAGACCGCACACTGGACCACTACAGGGGTGGAGCCTGGACACGGGTATTTTTTAAAGCAGTCTGCAGGCAGTCAAATTGATTCATTCTCTGTTAATGGGGAAGATGAGGCCCAAAGAGAGACAGGGGCCTGCCAGGGTCACTCAGGCACATGATAGCAAAACTAGACCCAGCTCTCCACCTCCCAGTAATCCTGAAAGTGAAAGAATTAGTTGCTCAGTCTTGTCCGACTCTTTTGCGACCCCATGGACTGTAGCCCGCCAGGCTCCTCTGTCCGTGGAATTCTCCAGGCAAGAACACTAGACTGGGTTGCCATTCCCTTCTCCAGGGGATCTCCCTGACTCAGGGATTGAACCTGGGTTTCCTGCATTGCAGGCAGATTCTTTACCATCTGAGCCACCAGGGAAGCCAACTGCTCCAAATAAAAAGCAGGGGACTCACTTGGGAAGCTCACATGTGAGGCACTTAGCAGTCATTACCTCATTTGAGTCTTCTGATTCCCTGGGGAGGTAAGAAGGTCCGCCACCACCACTGGTAGCAGAAAACTGTCCCAGGAAGGGAGTGAGTCACATGTCTCAGGTGCCAGGAGTTGACTGAGCTGAGATTCAAACCCAGGCATTAGCTGCCAGGCCCTGTCTTACCCTGGGGTATCTCTGACCTGGTGCATTCAAAGGTTCTGCTCTTTTGGCATAACCCCTCCTCTCAGGTTCAGGCAATTTCCTAATTCCCAGGAGCCACCTTGCCTCTTCTTCCCTATGCAAGATGACTGGGAGCTTTAAAACCAAAGATAAGGGGGACATCAGGAGAGGCTGAGCCCAAAGACTGCAGGGGATGGGAAGTGTGGGGACACACATCTCGCACTGTGGGCCTGGGGCCCCCGCATTAGTCTGGGATGGTGCTTCCTTCCAGACCTCACCCAGGCCTTCACGTGCTCTGCCTGAGAACCTCCCCCAAAGGGCCCCCTCCTCACAGTCCTCCCATTTTCATTAACATCTGACCCCTGGAGGCACTTGAGTTTGAGACCCTTGCTTTAGGGTCCTTGCTCCAGCAGCGTCAGTATCACTTGGGAATTAGGAACATAGATTTTCAGATTCCACCTCAGGCTTCCTGGATCAGAACTCGCATTTCCACGAGATTCCTTCCAGAAGCTTCACGGCCACTTTAGAGTTTGAGAATTGTTGTTTCAGGACACCATCGGCCTAGAATGTGAGGGTCAGTCCCACCTAAGAGCAGAGGTCAGCCACCTGCTGAGCGCGTCCACCCCACCCTGCCCGTGTCCCCCTCCCAGTTACAGCTGGGGCGAGGTTCCTGTCACCCCCCACCCACCCACCCCGAGCTTTTGGTTCCATAACGTTAATTTTACGATCTCCCTGGAGTGAGTCCAAAGCAAAGTTTTATGTGATATGATTACACAAGGTGAATTGTCCTGGATCTGTTTAATGAAACAGAGACCGTGTTTAATGATTCCGTGGGGAATTAGATACAGTTAAGCTATTAATCAGGCCCCGGTTCCTCCCGTCGACAAGATGAAGCAGAGAGTGGTCAGCCGGTGTCCTGCCAGGCCCACGTGGGGAGCAGTTCCGGCAGAACCAGCACTCATTACCGGTGGTCCATGGCGTAGCGTGCCTTTATTACCCAATTTGAAGGCAGCCATCAATTACCGGGAATCCTGAGCTAATTGAGGGCTTTTGTTTTTCATTTTTGTTCCTCTTTCCTGAAGTCATTCAGAAGCTTCAAGTGAGGCATCTCTGCTGTAGGAGGCGGCATGGAGGGAGCAAATATCTGCTGCCCGTAAAGGACGGGCCACGTGGGGCATCTCAGAGATGTTGGGTACCAACATCAGGAATATTGTAGCCATGGGGCTTCCCTGGCAGTCCAGTGGTTAAGGCTTCACACTTTCACTGCAGGGGGTTGAGTTTGATCCCTGGTCAGGGAATCTAGGATTCCACATGCCATGCCATGCAGCCAAAAAAGAACAATAATTGTGGCCAACATTTATCCAGCACTTCCTGTGTCTCAGGCCTGGTGGTAGGGTCTGCAAGCCCTATTCCAGTTCTGCTTGTAGAGTGGGAAGGTTTTAGCAAGGCTTCCATTGTGAAGATGGGTAAACTGAGGCTCAAGGACAGTGCTTGGTGTTCCCAAGGTCACACAGCCAATATAAAGAGGGGCTGGGTTTTGAACCCTGGCAATCTGAGTCGAAAGTCATCTGTGAACAGACCCCGTATCTTAGACGATACCTGAAGGTGAGGTAAAGCAATCGTAGACTAGGATCTGGGGTGAGAAGAATGCTGGAGATGGGCAGGTCAGGTGCTCTTAAAGGGTTTGCCCGGAGGGCAGGGATAGATGCAAGTTCAGATCCTGCCATGGACGCCCACTGTGTGGCCTCGAGCAGGTGGCTTCATGTCTCTGAGCCTCCTTTGTTCTCATGCGTAAAAAGGAGCTGGTAATTCCTCCTCTCCAGGCTTCGTGTGTGCACTGTCTGAGACAGTGCCTGTAAAGTGCCTGGCACAGCCCCCCGGCTCACAGTAGGTGTTCAAGCAATGTACATTCCCACCCCAGGGAGGTTTGGAATCCACAGAGATGCCATGCCATGCCATGTCATCTCCCTCCCACCTGCATCCAAAGCCAGAGCCATCCCCTGGGGGACCCAGACCATCATGCAGATGGACCCTTCCTTTTCCTAAGGACCACTCTCCAGGGACCTCTTGAGATGGTCACAAGCCTGGAAGTCCAGATATGTGAGTTACTGAGTGACTGATCGTCATCCCCATCCACCTGGGCTTCAGCCATGGGAGCAGCAGTTGTCCTGAATCCCCAGGGATGCTGTGAGATGACTCAGGAGCGGGGAAATGCTTCCGCAAAATAAGGAAAGCAGACTATACACATGCTAGATTTTTTCCTAATCACACAGATACATCTGGTTTTAACCCATTATAACAGTAAGGGCCCAATTAGCTAGATACATTGTAAATAATCTATTTGAAGGCTAAAAAAAAAATACCTCTGTCATCAGCATAAATATTTTCCAAGCAGCCATGGTGTTCCAGGGAGGCGCTGGGGGAGCAGGAGCCTCGCCACAGATTCTGATGTGCTCTGCAAAGAAAGAGGAGCCCTTAATCACATCGCCACTTGGCTGCTGGGAATTTCAATTTAGTTCAACAACCATTTATTAAGCCCCTGCTGGGTGTAAGGCAGTGGGAGGGAGTTGGGGGTGAGGCTGCCGGTTCCTGGGAAAGATGGGGGCCTGGAATCAGGCAGGCCTGGTCTGGATGGTGCTTCCTGGCTGTGTGACCTTGGGCAAATTACTTCACCTCTCTGAGCCTCCGTTTCCTCACTGGTGACAAATGAACAGTAGTCTTTTCCTTTCTGGGTAGTCACTATGATTAAATGAGATAAAGGGTGTCCATCATCCAACAGGGGTGAGAATTTAGTTATGAAGGACCAGTTGGGCTCCCCAGCCCAGCTTGGGAAACTTGCTGACTCTCATTCAATAAAGAGATTCCTCTGGGAGGTGCAGGGTGGCACTGCCCCTGTGAGAAGTCATGGGTTCCTGAGGGTTCCTTTCTGAGTTCCTAAGGACCAGTCCTGTGACTACTATCCAGCTGGGGCTTAGAATTGAGGCTGCAAATCCCCTTCTCTGTTCCCAGCATCCTTCATGACCCCCCTCTTGGGTTCCCCTTGATCAGAGTTTCAGCAGCCCCAGGGGCTGGCTGGCTGTCTCTTTGAGGTCTTCTCCAGGGAATTTCCTACATTCTGCTGTAGCCTGTCTTTGGAGCCAAGAGATCCCAAACAAACGTTCCCACTTGTGGTGACAACCATACTGTGCTTTTCCCATGGCAAGGAAATAAACAGCACAGAGGAACAGTGTGTGATGCTTCAATAAAGAGCAAAGAGAGAAATAGTCGTATAGAAAGGTGTCAAGATGACAATGTAAATTTGTTGTTGTTCAGTCACTAAGTTGTGTCTGACTCTGTGAACCCAGGGACTGCAGCCCGCCAGGCTTGCCTGTCCTTCACTGTCTCCCTGAGTTTGCTCAAACCCGTGCCCTTTGAGTCGGTGATGCCATCCAACCATCTCATCCTCTGTCGCCCCCTTCTCCTCCTGCCCTCAATCTTTCCCAGCATCAGGGTCTTTTCCAATGAGTCAACTCTTCGTATCAGGTGGCCAAAGGATTGGAGCTTCAGCCTCAGCACCAGTCCTTCCAATGAATATTTAGGGTTGACGCTGTAAATAATCCACCTTAAATCATGCCCTCAGCACAGAGGAGGCACCTGCCTGAGCCTGGGGAGTCAGGGAAGATGACATCTCATCTGAGAACAGAATAATCACAGTGGTAATGATAACCAACGTTTACTGAGCATCTACAGGGTACGGGGAGCCATGCTAAAAAGTTTGTATGCTTTTTCCAGCTCTCTATACAAAGGCCCTGTTACTATCCCGTGAGAAGAATTGTTACTACACAGGATTTCTATTCCTACATGGGGTAACTTGGTAGATAAAAGCCCAGACTTTGAAACCAGACTACTTGGTTTCAAATCCCGGCTCAGCCAGTTTTTTGCTGTGTGATCTTGAACAAGTTCCCTAACCTCTCTGTGCCTCAGTTCCTCCTGTTAAACGAAGATAACGAGGATGCCTGCCTCACAGGGTTGTTGTGAGGAATATGTGAATCGATAGCTGTAGTAATATATTTATCTTATTATATATTAAGATCACTGCATATTAAAATACAGGGTTCCCAGGTGGCTCAGTGGTAAAGAATGTGCCTGCCGATGCAGGAGATGCAGGTTCAATCCCTGGGTGGGGAAGATTCACTGGAGAAGGAAATGGCAACCCACTGCAGTATTCTTGCCTTGGAAATCTCGGGGACAGAAGAGCCTGGTGGGCTACAGTCCACAGGGTCGCAAAAAGAGTCGGACACAACTGAGCGACTGAGCAGGCGTGCCTGTTAAAATATAAAAATAGAGTAGCAAAGATTTATATATAAGCCTGTGCCTGGCGTGGAGTAAGCACGAGACAGGTGTCTTGAGTCTCCGCAAAAAGCAGGAAGGACCAAGACTGTTCCAGGCAGAAGCAGCAGGCGGGAGGCGGGAGGCGGGGGCGAGTCTGACCGTCTCGGGGCGCAGCGTGCAGCGCGCGCACGGCCAACCAGCCTCCCCTCTCTGTCCACGCAGAATGGCCGGAGTTCGTGAGGAACTACGCCCCGTGGTGGGCCACGCACACGCTGGACTGGCTCCGGTTCGGCAAGAAGGTGCTGGTGGTGCACTTCGAGGACCTGAAGCGCGACCTCTTCGTCCAGCTGGGCCGCATGGTGGGCCTGCTGGGTGTGGCCGTCAGGGAGGACCGGCTGCTGTGCGTGGAGAGCCAGAAGGACGGCAACTTCAAGCGCTCGGGGCTCCGCAAGCTGGAGTACGACCCCTACACGGCGGACATGCAGAGGACCATCTCTGCCTACATCAAGACGGTGGACGCGGCGCTCCGAGGGAGGAACCTCACGGGCGTGCCCGACGACTACTACCCCAGATGATGGATGATCAGGCCGGGGCAGGGGGCGGGCCGTCCAGACCGAGCAGGCCCCGGGCGCTCCGGGCCCCTGGGGAGCCCCACCCGCCAGTCCGCTCTCCCGTGTAGGGACCATCCCCTTGGCCTAGCGTTGGCCTCCGATGAGTTTCCTGCATGATGAAGGAGGCTCAAGGGGAGAGATGGTGCAGGCACCTCCCACCGACTCGCAACCGCCCCCCCCCGCCTTGGAGATGAGGGGTGGCCGGTTTGGGGAGTTCCTGCCGCCTGGACCCTGCTCTGCCTCCCGTGTCCCTGCCCCCCGCACCTGTGGGAAGGAGGGCTCCTGGGTGTCCCGGAGATCAGGGTTCCCCACCGCGGGTGTGGAGGACCCTGGCGCAAGAGCTAAAGGGAACGGCGTAGAACAGAGTGGCCCCAGACTCGCCCCTGTGCTGGGCTGAGCGCTCATAGCCGCCCCTTCCCTTCCCCACCCAGGAAGCTCCGCTGACAGTTTGTCCCGGCAGCCTCTGTCTGCAGGAAGATTGCTGGGAGGTTTCTCCGTGGCCTTAGGTTTCTGACATTCTGATGGGTCAGAGAGGCCGTGGTGCTCAGAGTAGGTTAACTGGGGCCACCGGGTGGGGTCACTGGCATCTCGACCCCCCACGTGGCGTGTCCACCTCGGGACCTGGGATTCTGCCCTTTCCTCCCCCGCTGTATCCAGGAGGTGACTCGCTTCCAGGGGTGACACCTCTCTCCACCGTGGGGTCCCACGCATTGATCTGACACTGCCCTTCCGACCCCTACCAGCGGGTCCTCCCCTGTCCAGGAGGGAGAACAAGTGTGCACCAAATCAGGTGGACCCATGACCAAAAGAGATACCCACAACCTTCCTAGACCAGCGACCCCCGCTTTGGTCATAGTCCAGGGGGGGCCCTTTCAGGAAAGGGGTGAATGGGATGGTTCTTCATGTGCGTACAGACACTGTTCTTTCGATGCTGAGACGTCCATCCAAAGGACTCGGTGGCTGATTATCTGTCTTAGAAAGCATCAAGTTCCAGGATTCCCTCTCTCCCCTCACCTTGGGTACCCATGGTTTCGCATCCGGCCCACACGTGCGCACCTGCACCGCCCCCCACCCCCCGCCCGCCACCATGTAGATGGAAAAGCCATAGGTCACAGCTCCTTCGCTGTTCTGTCTGGAACAGCCCCCCAAGCGGCCCCCTCTGAAGCCTTGGGGTGCAGGTAAATGCTCATTCCCAAACAGCCAAGAGACTATGGAGAAGGCGAGTGTAAAGAAATATATTTTTCTAAGAGGAATATGACTCATACATTCCACCCCCTGGGAACCCAGCCACGCAAAGACAAGGGCTGGGGGATCGGACCTGTTGTCCTTGTCCCTGGGCCCCTCATCTTTAGGATTCGGGCCAGCCCAGGGCCCAGCCAGGGGGCTCTGAATGTATTTTGTACCGTGTTTCTTTCCCCCAGGCAAATTTCTAGTCTTCTTTCTCAAAGCATCAGAGGGCTTGGCCTCCCCGCCCTCTAAGAGGTCAGCTGTCTCTCTGGGAGACTCTGGGTCCAAGACCTGGGCCATTTCTTTGCCGGTGGTCAGGCCACCAGCCTCTGTCTGAAGACTCCTCAGGTCAACACCATCATTAAAAGCAAGTTTTGTTGATAATTCTACCACGTGATGGAGTGTCGTGTAAGGCAAGGTGACAAAGGGGATGTTTTTCTGCTGTGTGTGTGTGTGAGACAGGAATGTTCTGGGTGCGTCATTGCTTTTGTGTCTGTGCGGCTCTAACTGCCTGTGAGGAACTGTGTGTCTTGGTGTGCAGAACTGTCTCTGCCTCCGTGTTCAGCCGCCCTTCTGTGTGGGGACACTGCACCCCCCCCCCAGCTGGCGTGATGACCGCCCCATGTCTGGTGTGTCTGTGTGCCCCTCCTCCAAACCCCGGCCCTTGAGGAGGAAGGAGAGCCCGGTGATCCAGCGCTCCCCAGGGCCTGGGACATGCCTGGCCTGCAAGCCGGGACCCCCAGACTCCCATCCCGCTGTCTCCCCCAGCACGTTGTGACTCCAGAGCCGAGGAGAAGCATTAGGGCCTGCATCTGCTGACAGCGGGGACCGCCTCCTGATTTCTCCAGGATCCCTGAGGCTGCTACAAACATCCCTGGCAGACAGTGTGGGCAGCAGGAAAGGATGGGGGGCGGAGGGGTTGCCGGGGGCAGGGCTCTTCAGGAACCAGCTCCTCCTTCCTTGCCCCGTCTCTCTCGCACTGGTGTTTCTCCCCATCCCTACCCCCTCACCGCTTTTCCTTATTGCACTTGCCTCCTGCTCTCAGTTTCTCTCTTTGGGGTCTCTTTTATTTCCTCGAGATGCACATTAAACCTCTTTTCTTTCTTGTCTTTCTCCTCTCTGTCTCTTCCTCCCCACCCCCATCCCTGAACCAGTCTCACTGACTGCGTTCTCTCTTTCTTGATTTCCGCTTCTCTTTGTCCATGTGTCTCTCCACGTCTCTCTCTATCTCTGTCTCTGTCTTTGCCTGTCTCTTGCTCGCTCGCTCTCTCCCTCTCCACCTCTGTTGTCCTGTCCTCCCTCCTCCCCCTCATCTTCCTGGAGAGTGGGGGCGACTCACTGGGATCCAGACACAGTGAGACAAATGCTACCCGGCCCGGTAACCAAGGAAGTGGTTTCCTTAGCAACAGAATCTGCAGGCACGCGTTCCACTGCCCCGTCCCTTAGCTATGACAGTAAGTACCAAGAGCGTGGGGGACAAGCCTGGAGATGAGGAAGTCAGTAAAGACACTGCTGTATGGATCCTCTTGAAGGGGGACGGTGGTCAGAGATAAGCACTTTAGGGACATTCAAAAATACGAGAGGCGCAGGGGCTGTGGGCTCAGAGGCAGAGTGGAAACAGCTAGGGAAGCAGTCCACAGGACTTGGGGACAGACTGGATGCATGGGGGGGGTGGGGGAGACAGGCAAGGGGACACCAAGACTCTGAGCATCTTCAGAAGGAGGGCTTTTGAGGTGGAGAACATAGGGTAGAGGAGCAGGTTGGCGGGGGGATGGTAAGCTCCTTGTCCCCGAGAGTTCACCATCTAGTTGGGGTGACATTGGGGGAAGGGAGGTGGAAACAGACACAGAAATATCTCAGGCAATTCGCCCTATAAACTGGCAACAAGGAGCCTGGGAGAAAAAGCACAGCCCCGAGGGTGGGTTGAGAGGCTCAGGGATGGCCCATCATTGGATCTTGTGGCACAAAAGTTGGTGGTGACTCTTGGATTAGAACCTGGGAAGGACCCAGAGCCTGTCCCAAAGATGGAAGGCAGAAGGGGGTAGAATATAAAGAGACAGAGAGGAAGAGACAGGGAGAGAGAGAAAAGAGAAAACAGGAAGAGAGATTTAAATCATTGATTGGGCAATGTTTCCTGCTGGGAAAACAAAATAGTCGTTGGATTTTAGAGAAACGAGAAAAGGGGGAGGGAGGAAACAGAAGCCCCCTACAGGGTGATAGCTTTTGCAGCTATAAATAACTGTCCCCAAAGAAAACACCTGTCAAGACGCATCCACTCCCAGGGACACGGACTGTGTCCCCAGTCTAGGCTGATATTTAAATGAGTCATAGCAGGTGACGGGGGTGAAAGGCAGAAAGTTGATCAATGTAACATCAACACCTCGCTCCATTTTTTCCCCAAATGCAATAAAGCGTGCAGGCATGGAGAGCTATAAATCTGGATGATAATAATATCCGTCCCCACAAAAGCAACATGTTTATTTATCATGTTTGCACGTTTACTATTTCCCCTCAAATTTACAGTCTGCAATCTGCCAGCAGGAAAGGGTGGCGTTGGGGGGGGACATGGAAATGAGAACAAACTCGCAGAACATCAAGGAGTGAAGAAATGATGGCATATTTATCCCCTCCATCCACACCCCCACATCCAGGCTGCCTTAAATCCACTTTCAAACCACAGTGGTGATATATCTGAGCGGGACCATGCGTCTCTATTTCTGGTCTCTGACAGCTAATTGAAATGAACAGTCATTATAGGACGGAACGTGTGGCAACAAAATGATTTTTGTGTGTTCTGGAGTCTTTTGCTAAACAATTATGGGGAGTGAACCGTCTGCCATATGTGAGAGAGGGGGTTGATCTTAGAGGAGACAAGTGTGTATGTGTGTGTGTGTGTGTGTGTGTTCTAGAAAAATGGGAGATGAGAGGGAGGGGGAGGCAACTTAGGGGTCGGATTCTATTCTGAGACCTGCGTTAGGCACCTGACCCATAGAGTTCCCTGGGCTTCCAAAACGTGGAATGCCCATGCCTTATCCCAGACATGGGATAAGGATCAAATTTCCCAAAACATAAGAGTCCAGGTATGGATGAGAGGATCTGCTGGGCTTACTGGGAGGAAAAGCTGTATTTACAGTTGTCTTGTTGATAATTCCTGGCCCTGATCTATGTGCCACTCTAGTAGTTGTTTTTTGTTTTTGGGGGTTTTTTTGACCGTGCAGTGTGACATGCAGGATCTTAATTCCCCAATCAAGGATTGAACTCAAGCTTCCTACAGTGGAGGGCACGGTCTTAACCACTGACCTCAAGGCATGATCCCTAGAACTAGCACATTGCCCGGCACACAACAAGTGCAATGGAAGGGCTTGGTGATTTTCTGAATGAGTGAATCGAGGACTGTTAGAGGATCTTCAGAGAAAAACCACAAGTCATCAGCCAGAGCAGGCCCTTAGCTGCCCTGAATTTTCTCTCCAGTAACACTGAATTGATTTTCTGTTCTCCCTCCCCGAGCCTGAGCCCCTAAAGCCGATGGTGTGGTGCAGCCCACTCACACTGGCTCTCAAAAGCCCATTGTGTGCGTCTCAAACTCACATGCAGTGACATCACATCGGTAGCTTGAAACTGGCCATGGTGAGAATATTTACACCATGGAAATTGGCCACTGCTACAAGTGGGTGAGGGTCTTTTTGGTTTTGTTTCGAGAGCAAGTTGTTAGGTGCTTACCAGCACACCAGTGCCCA